TGCTCCGGCTTCAGTTTCTTGACAGAACCAGACCAGAATACTTTACTATCACATTCTTCACCAAACTACAACCTGCTCGTTCGACACAAACTCTGACGTCACCCACATCTAACTACAACACCCGCCATTCGCGCTCTCTGATTGGTCGGGTGGAATTCAACCGATTGTAATCACAAACACAGGGACCAGACCCAGACGTTACAGCAGGACATGATGATGGACCTGAGAGTACGGATGGATAAGGCCAGGCTATGGCATAACTATATATACTGTAAATAAACCATATAAAGTAGAGTCTTTCAGAACCTGCTCATGTGATAACGGGGACTTTCTATTTCAATACTATTTCCAAACTAGAAACTTGCAATGGCTGAAGCCATTGCGATTGACTGCGGAACAGATCTAATGTGGAATTTAGCTGAAAAATCCTTGAAATCCTTGAAACTGTTAAAATACTTTAAACATCTTTGAAACTCCTGAAGTATTTGAAGCTCCTGATATCCTTTAAACTGTTATCCTTTATACTGGTTTACATGTAAAAACCCCTATTAAGTTGCATTATACTGGTTTACATGGAAAAATCCCTATTAAGTTGCATTATACTGGTTTACATGGAAAAATCCCTATTAAGTTGCATTATACTGGTTTACATGGAAAAATCCCTATTAAGTTGCATTATACTGGTTTACATGGAAAAATCCCTATTAGGTTGCATTATACTGGTTTACATGTACAAATCCCTATTAAGTTGCTTTATACTGGTTTACATGTAAAAACCCCTATTAGGTTACATTATAGTGGTTTACATGTAAAAATCCTTATTAAGTTGCATTATACTGGTTTACATGTAAAAACCCCTATTAAGTTCCATTATACTGGTTTACATGTAAAAACCCCTATTAAGTTCCATTATACTGGTTTACATGTAAATACCCTATTAAGTTGCATTATACTGGTTTACATGAAAAAAACCCTATTAAGTTGCATTATACTGGTTTACATGGAAAAATCCCTATTAAGTTGCATAATACTGGTTTACATGGAAAAATCCCCATTAAGTTGCATTATACTGGTTTACATGGAAAAATCCCTATTAAGTTGCATTATACTGGTTTACATGGAAAAATCCCTATTAAGTTGCATAATACTGGTTTACATGGAAAAATCCCCATTAAGTTGCATTATACTGGTTTACATGGAAAAATCCCCATTAAGTTGCATTATACTGGTTTACATGGAAAAATCCCTATTAAGTTGCATTGTACTGGTTTACATGGAAAAAACCCTATTAAGTTGCATTATACTGGTTTACATGGAAAAAACCCTATTAAGTTGCATTATACTGGTTTACATGTAAAAACCCCTATTAAGTTGCATTATACTGGTTTACATGGAAAAATCCCCATTAAGTTGCATTATACTGGTTTACATGAAAAAAAACCCTATTAAGTTGCATTATACTGGTTTACATGAAAAAACCCTATTAAGTTGCATTATACTGGTTTACATGTAAAAACCCCTATTAAGTTGCATTATACTGGTTTACATGGAAAAATCCCCATTAAGTTGCATTATACTGGTTTACATGAAAAAAAACCCTATTAAGTTGCATTATACTGGTTTACATGGAAAAATCCCTATTAAGTTGCATTATACTGGTTTACATGGAAAAATCCCTATTAGGTTGCATGATTACACTGAAGTCCTTGAAACTGCTGAAGTCCTTGAAACTGCTGAAGTCCTTGAAACTGCTGAAGTCCTTGAAACTGCTGAAGTCCTTGAAACTGCTGAAGTCCTTGAAACTGCTGAAGTCCTTGAAACTGCTGAAGTCCTTGAAACTGCTGAAGTCCTTGAAACTGTTGAAGTCCTTGAAACTCTTGAAATCTTGAAACTGCTGAAATCCTTGAAACTGTTGAATCCTTGAAACTGTTGAATCATTGAAACTGTAGAAATGTCTGAAAGAGCTGAAGTCCTATTAAAATGCATGGGCCTATTAAAATGCATTGCAGAATTCTCAATGCAGATTTTTGTCCGATTGCGGAAAAACCGGAAATCGCTGAAGTCCCAAAAGTAATAGCAATAATCTCCCAAACATGTGGAACGTTTTGATGTATAACTTGTGGAAATTGTTGAAAATGTGAAAGCTGTGAAACGTGTCAAAAAAAATGACGGAATAAAGAAATACAAAACCAATGGTTGACTGCGGAAGGTTCCGCAGTCAATCAATTATACAATATGGTTCAATAAAAAATATGTCTTTCAAAATCTATCTATTGAAATACAAAACTAGTGGTGCATTTATATAAATTTAACTGATGATTATTTGTTAGTAAAAAAGTAGTAGTAGTAGTAGTCTGAACAATATGAAAAAAGATATGGGGAAAATGTCCTAAATAAAGCAATATCACTGAATAAAACACTGATTTAATATCTATTTTTTAGCTCACCCCGACAAGACAGGGTTTATTTCTTCACATTTAGGAACAAACATGAGCTTCTACCCCAATTACAATCAATGCGGTGGAAAATAGAAAATTTAAATACCACTGCGGAATCTTTAAGCCATACAAATAAACTTGCCAGTGCCTATGCTTTGTTGTAAGTAGCTAATAATAAAAGTAATGTTGGAGATCAGAAGAGGATAAACTGACACATGTATTTGGCCGTTAACAGTCCGCGCAGCTAACTCAGGCGTATCGCATTTGACCCAAATCACCGGCACAGACCGTGTTGTGGTTACTCAGATAAATCCTTCCCACAGGTAGTATTTTTGGATCTCAGATGAGCTCATGATATTCTATAAGCTGTTCCACTTCGGACTTAGGGAAAACTATGATATAAGCAGAATTTCAATGGTTATAAAAGATTGAAATCAAGATGATGTACAGGGAATTTGTAAAATGAGAGGTTCTGGGGCAACTTTCCATGTTTTCTTTGTTTATTTTTATTTCTATTCACACAATGGAATCCTGAACAAATGATTACTTTTGTTTAAACATGATTATTATTATATTCTGGCCAATGTACTGTATCTGAAAGAAAACACTAGAAAAAAACAAAATTGGAGCAATGGTAAAAAAGGTTTGTTATGGACTAATATGCTAATTACTATTATTATCATTCCCATTATTATCATCATATTTCATTAATACTAGCATTTTTTTTTTTTTGCCATAACGTCCTTGGGCAAGACACTTAACCCCACTTTGCCTGAAGCCCCCGCTGAAAGATCTCAGCTCCTGTGGACTCAGCTCCTGCAGGAGGATCAGTGAGGGGCTGGTGCTCTGTGACTGCCACCCCCCACCCAGACATGGATTAAGGGGAAGAAAATGGATGGATGGACTTCCACAAGCTTATACTGCGACATATATGTGTATTTTTATTCTGGTAGTTTATTTTGACTCCATCAAGTTTCAGTAGCTATAGAAGACTTGTTTACAGCCAAAATAGACTGAAGGTATTTAAGCTCGGCCTTTATGTGGACAACATTGATTTTCTTTTAAAAATTTAAATGTTTTTATCCGCAGGTGCGCCTTAAAGTTCAGAAAGTATACAGGTTTTTTTTTTAATTATGATGCCATGGTAGATTATTTCACCCTCACATCAATTCTTGCAGTTACTTCTGATTAAAGGGCCCAGACAGAGGGAGGTTGTTTTAAGTTTAAGTACAATATGGACAGAATATTGAACCTTTGTGGATATGGATATTTCAGTTAGAGAAAAACAGCAGCTATTTCGCAAACTGGAAAAAAGAAATGTATATGTTTGTGTTTTATGGCATGCCATCCTATTTGCGGAGGCTCAGTGTGTGTCATGTGCCGGTGTCTCAATGTTTACAGGTTTCCATAAAACCATAAATCTGGGCTGAGGCAGACTGCCACTTTGACACGTGCGAAGGTAGACCGGTGGCTCATCTTGGAAAGGTGTTATGATCAATTTCAGAACAGGAAACAGAGTTAAAACATGGGTACAACAAAACATGGCATAAAAGTATAAGTGTGTCTATTGCCTAAGTATAAGTGTGTGTCTTTTAGGTGGCAGCATTGGACTTCTTCTCTGTTTAAATCCGGGTTAAAAACATCTGTACAAGGCGTGTATCTTCACTCTTTTTACTGGACTGTGATTCTTCATGATTTTAAAGCCTTGTGTAATTTAATTTAATGACTATTTTCTTGTTTTGTTAAGCCCTTGTGCATGTGCTCTATACCAATACTCTTTGCCTTTGTCATTTATGTATCTGTATGTTACCAAAAATCACTATAAATGTAAAACTTCTGGCTTTGACCATTCCTGACGATATTTATACGTCTTTGCGAGAGACGTGTGCGTAATGTCGAACCTGAAGTGAACAGTTCCTGCTTCGGTGGAAGGGAACTAGACAGAGTCACGTCACATGCAGAAGTTGTGGTGGACATGTAGACGCTTACAAAACCTTGTGCACCACATAAACTACAGTTAATAATAAAACTAGAGCCCTTTACATTCATCACTCACACAAGCAGGCCTCAAATCAGATGATTCATTTCCTTCTATGTCAGATGAAAGCAGTGAAACTTAACCCACCTACTCTAACTACTCTAACTACTGCAATATTCTTACACATTCATCATGATGTGGCAAAAATATGATATTAATAATCAACCAGAATTTCCAAATGTATATCTTAGGCTTGTTTTGATGTTTTTTCATGTAAATCCCAGTACTTCTTATGCGCTACAAGATACTAGCCCAGATTTCAAAGCAACACATCATAATGGAAATGCCCATGTTAAAAGCCGTCGGATAGAGGCTGGAAATAGAAACTTCTAAATCAAATATTCCACTAAGATTCCATTCTAAAGATTCACTTGTGCGAACGGTAAAAACCCCATTGCATATGACATGTCGCACAACTATTGCACAATCAGCGCTCGGCAACATCTTAAACATTCTTCTCCTGCTCTATCTTGTCAGAAATGCTCCCTAAATATAACTCTTAAGTGTGGGGCAGCTGGCCATACCTCACTGCGGAGCTGGGGTCTGGACAATGGCCCTCCCTCGGCTGTCACCTCCATGGCTTGGTCAGCACTCCCCCCGACTGTGACGCGACCTGGGCTCTCCGACGCCATCTCAGCTCTGCACGGATCCTCCTGCTTTTCTGCAACGTGCGGCCTTTCAGGAGTGGGGTCTTGCAGCTGCGCCACCTCCGTAGACATCCCATTGTCGTCGTTGGAGCGCTCTTCAGATTGGAGATAGAAAGATGGCGGCGTTTGCTCCGGTGTATTAGGTGAATCCGAATGATATCTGTGCTCGTGGGTGTCCTTCTTGTTCTTCCCAAAGAAAAAGTCCTTAACGGAGTGGAGCATGGAGGTCAGAGACGCAGGTTTGTGATGGTCCTTGTGCTCCTTGAGTTCTTTGGGGCCTTTGTGGTGGAGTCTGGCCTCATGACGCGTGGGAGTGGGAGTGGGAGTGGAGGAGCCTGAGATTTCTTTGCTTTCGTCCTTCACCTCTTGGTCGGCTCTTTCCCGAACCTAGGAGTGACAAAAATCAATATTTACTGCAAGGACAAAAGTATGAACCTAGACTGACGTTTGCATCACACTTTTCTATCGCTGATTTAAAGGTAATCTAGTATGCATCTATTTCCGTCCGCTTTATCCGTTGCCAGGTTGCGGTGGCAGCAGTCTGAGCAGAGATGCCCAGACTTGCTCGGGATATGTCCTTGGAAAGCTGTTTCGAATGCCTCCTGTGCGCCTCTCTGGAAATCTAGTATAAAAACTGTAATTCACAACTTGATTGAGTTAAGTGATTTTGATTGGTTGAATAAAGGCGTTCACAAAGGGTTACAAAGGGTGTCATTTACAATATTCATCGCACTTTTCCAGCTTTCAAGGCCATCCTAGTCCTTTACATCAAGGCACCGTTCACACACACATTCATACACCAGTGAATGCAGACCCTGGAGGCGAGGTGTCTTGCCCAAGGACACAAAGCAGCATTCACCAATGGGAGCTGGTTTCTATTTATTGTGCTATTGTGGGCACAACTGTTCCAACACGGACCATGGAAAAATGCCATGCTGAATAACGTTTCTTATTTGCAGTTAAAACTCTTAAAGCAGTTTTATACAAAATGTTGGAGCAGGATATGACCGTTTAAAGCAGAGGTTTAGCTCTCAGATAGAAACCCCTAAAATAAGCATGAATTGTATAGTGTTGTCTGACCTAATATCTACAGTATGTAGTTAATAAAATAAGTGACTAAATAGAACACTATAATAATTACATTGAGTCTATACGTCATCTCATAACTCCAGTGTCAAGTCCTGCAATCCCCCTGTGGACCCTAACCCTCTCTTAAAGGGCCGTCTCTCCAACAGCCCAAATCCATAACTCTTACTTGCAACGTGTCCTGTTCCATCGCTTCTTCTCCCGCCTTCTGTTGGCCGTCCTCCTCTTGTGCCTTTGCCTCTGAGTCGGTCACGCCTTGAACCGTCTCCTCTTTATTCGCCTGTTTCTCCTCCGCCGCCTGAGATTGAAGCGTCTCGGCCAGAAACTGTGCCAGCCCCATGCCTCCGTCGTAATGGTTCTCTGCAGCACTGCCCTGGGCGCCGCTTCGAGAGGAGACGCTGCTCTTTGGTGAGCTCGGCGGCTCAGTCTGTGCGTCCGTGCCGTTGGAGATTTTGATTTTTTTGTTGACCGAAGAGGGCTCGCCGTCTTTCTTCACCTCTGGGGCGACGGGGAAAGCCGGGGGCACAGGTTCCTGGACTGTATTCTGCATGTTTTTGTCCCCAGCGCTCTCAGGAGGCTCCTCTACGTTCCGCTGCCGTTGTGGAATGGGTCGTTTTCTGGGAGTCCTCTCTGGGCTCTTCTGTGGCTGCTCTTTTTCAACTTTGTCTGCGGTGTCTTTCTTATTGGTTCCTTCCAGGTCCAGTCTCTTCTTCTCAGCTTTTGCCTTCAGTTTGGCAAAGAACCGCTGATGGATCTGGTACTCGCTCATGGTGCCCACCTCCAGAACCCCGGAGCAGGACACGATTCCTTTACTGTTGACTGCAGACACTTGGTAGATGGCAGCGTCATCCAATGTGCAGCTATAGGAGCGAAACAGACAAAGATTCAGCTGTTTTTTTAATTAAAGAATATTAGAAGATCAATGGCAATATGGTCAAAATAAATATATTAGGAACCTGATAAAAAACCATTCCATAATCTTAACTGTGACTTATATCTTCTATCTCTTTGGCACAAGAATTTCCTTTTGATTAGTACATTTATTTATTATATGACCGTACGCGCGCTCTGATTGGTTGATTTGCGGTCTGATATTTTCCCATCTCGGACCGTTACCATGACAATCGGTCCGCAGCGCGTATCACACAAAACCAAGTTGGACATGAACATACTTCACAAATATCTCAAAAGCATTGGTAAAGACACAGACGAGAGTCATATAATAAAACATTTATTAACCTCGGTCTGTGCAGAGAAATATCAGACCTTGGCCTTAATGTACAGACCTCGCCACAGCTCGGTCTGTACAGGTCTGTGCATTAAGACTCGGTCTGTACGTTAAGGCCGCGGTCTGATATTTCCCCGTACAGACCTCGCGCTCAGTTAATAAGCCGTTAATCTAATCCAAGGGGCATCTACAGGACATTGGCCAATCCGCTCCCTATGGACCAATGGCTTCTGTGTTTCTTTGTTTGTTGTGATTTAGGGCGATAAAAAAATAAATGTTTTGGAATTGAATTGGGACGAATGCTTCTCGTATTTGTCCAGCAGCAGAAATACATCATTCTAAAAGTAATAGTAATAGTTATGCTAATGAGCTTAGTTTGCCCTAAATATTTTGAATTAATGGTTTTGTTTTATCCAGCTCTAGTTTGGGTATAGTTGAGTCCAGGTTTAATCTTAATGTTCTGGGGAGAAAAGTATCTGTGGAATTGGAGGGAACACTGCGACTCACTCGTAAATGTGCAGAGTGTGCGTTTTCCCGTTTCGATGTATCTCATATTTG